AAAAGGGTCAAGGGGACAGATTTCTTCCTACCTACCAAAAGCAGTCTTTCTATTAGAAACAGTATTTGCCTCAGGATTATGAAACAATTGGATTCCTAGATTTAAAGCAAGGAACAACCATAAGCTGAAGAAGGACAAAAAGCAGTTAATGTTAGAACTTCTGCAAATCTCACGCAGAAAGTAAAACAGTGAGACTGTGAAGGAACTGTATCTGAGCATGAAGTTAATCAGATAAAAAATTACCTTCTTTTGCAACAATTTTTACTTTTGTATGTCCTCTGTCAGTGCAAAAATGTCTGATGTCCACAGATAAGAGCTTAAATTTTTCTGAGTGTCAGAGCAAAATGAAGAAAATAATGTTTTAATACAACTTCAATCTGATTGGTAAATCAGTAATTTAATGCTCTTTTGATCCACATGTAAGGTAAGCGTGAAGTGACTTAAGGCAAAACCAAGTTAATGCGAGAAAAACTAACAGCAGACAAAGTTTGAATGGTTTCTTAAGAACATGTTTTGACAGCTACATTATAATAGCACAGCTAAATACTAAAAAATGCTTAAGACTCTAAAAAGAGAATATACCTGCCTAAACACTTCACATCAAGCTGATATAAGGCAAATTATTCTGGTAAATTGTTGGGAGTAAGGTGCTGACACATGTCTGTGCATTATCAGAGTCAGAATGCTGGACTGGCACAGAAATTACAAAGTCTAACTGAATACTGTCAGAAATTCAGCATTTCACATAACTCTATCACAAGCAGGCATGAGGAAGAAGCATTCACACAACTGAAAAGCAAAAATTGCCAAAATAATGGTTTCCATCCTTCAAAATCTCAAGGTTTCAGTTCAAGACTCTAAAGTAAAAAGGCTAAGGGTTAAAAAATACAACACAATAAACGTTGTCCTCACAACTCTCCATTAATACTAGCAGTCATCCATTAAAAATATCAGGCGTTAAGTTCAGGTAGCAAGCTATATATTCAACTTAACAACTTAAATTAGATTATCTAAAACAAAGCAATGGGAGGAGCACTTTAGTGTTTTTTAAATTTAAACTCATCAATTCTATACTGCAGTGAGAAATAATGGCTAAAGTGTTGTACCCATGACTGAATAAAAAGGTATGAACTACATACAGAACAAACTGAATTTCAGAAAGAATCACATTTACCCATTTTCATCTAAGTTTCCAGAATGTAGGACCTCCACAGGATGACCATAAACCATGATGCTTGGGTGAGCGGTGACTAGTAAGGCTGAAAAATAGGCCTAAACTCAGTTTATCTGAGCTCCTGCATAAAGAATCTCAATTATATATATATGTAAATACTTATGGTGAACTTTGATAACACTGCATCATTTTATTGTTTTAATCTTATTGTCCTTTTTACTGTTTTACTGCTGGTTTGTTTATTAGTCCTTATTCTTTCATTGCTACAAGCTTTATTAGAGTTTGTTGATTAAAGTATTTGAACAGAAAGGTAAAATATTCTGTAAATACATTCTTATATTTTGGAGATAAGTTCATATGTCCTAAAACTGTTGCTGCAACTGTCGATTATATTTACTAAAAGATACTATAGAAGTAATTACTGAACTGAGCTCCACTGCCATGTTCTCTTACACACATCAGCACACTTGCAAAGACAAATATAATTCATTGTATTTTGAGAAAAACAAGTAATATCCTTCCCTGGATATTTGATGCAAACATACAGAAAACACCTGAAGGATGAGAATCTATAGGCTGTAGATTATGCACTGGTTAGTACTGAAGCATATAAAGTTATTTTACTGAAAACTATTCAATTCTGAAAAGAAGTACACATTAAAAGATGTACCTTACACAAATATATAACAATATATACATAGTACAGTCTGACAGACAACAGCTATTATTGTTTATTTATGAGTAAAGGAAGGTTTTTAGAGACTTACAGGAAGGACTTGACATCCAGGCCCCGGTTCTTCATCTGGTCCATCATGTAATCCCAGCTGCCAGGGTTGCCACGAGAGCGCCCTCCTGCTCCGCCTCCCCTGTAACGTGAGGCGGCTGCTCCCGCTGCGCCGCCCCGTGCACCCCGGCCACCGCCTCGTGTACCTGCACCCCCACCCTCACCACTGTTACCGCCGCCATCTCCTCTCCCTGCCCCACCACCTCCCCCAGGCTGTCCAGGTCCTGTGTGTAACTGTCCCAAGCTTTGGGATGTGGTAGGCGGGTGGCTGAGACCCGGCCCCGATGGATGGATGAGGGGCTGCTGCAGACTCTGCTGCCGCAGCAGCGTCCGAGGCCGGGAGGGAATGTGCTCCAGCGTGGAGGCATAGGATAAGACTGGATCGCCAAAGCTGGGAGGGCAGAGGAGTAGCGAGGAAAGAGAGCGGGTTGACGGCCAGGGCCGGCAGAGAATTGGTTTGTGAGGACGTGGGAGAGAGTCCGATGTTGTAGAGGAGTATGAGGAACCATGACAGGCGGAGGTGGTTGGGTCAGGGCAGAAGGTGGTGAGGAGAGGTGAGGAATCATCCGAGATTAGACAAAGAGGTCGAGGGCATTGGGGAGGTATTGGAGACAAAGACAGGTTGGCATCCGGGCAGAAGCAGGAAAGTTCATCCAAACAGGAAGTTGAAGGTTGTGTGATCGGAGAGGAGGGAGGAGGTGCGGTGGTATTTGAGGTCAAAGTGGAGGAGGGATCAGAGAAAGGAGTATTGGGAGGCGGAGAAAGGAGGAGGAGGAGAGAAAAAGAGAGCAACATGAGGCAGCAGCTGTAACAGCAGTAGCAAAAATAGCAGTAAAAGGTGCAGCCTGAGTGATGATCGGCATGCGACATGTGCTGCTCGTGGTGCTGAGTCGAGCAGTGAGTCTGCGTCGGACGCGAGTGTGCCTTGCGTGGCTGTGTGGCTTGAGCATGCTGTTTGTATGGAGGTGAGCTTCGCAGCGGCAGCGGTCGGATGCTGACCGTCCGTACAGGCGTGTTGCGGCTCTGAGCGGCACGGCCGCATCGCGGGGTGCGCGTCGAGGCTTTACTGCTTCCAGGCTTCGCCGTCGAGAGTTTTGTGGTTCGACGAGAAATTCCCATTTCTTCTACTCGCCTGTCAACATTTCCACCTCTGATAGCCTCTCCTCATTTCTCTCTAAGTATTTTTGGTCTTTTAAACACATGCAGGACCTCTAGAGAGATCCTGACAGCCAACCAACTTCTACAGCAAGACTCCCTCCCTCTCTCAGTCTCCTAATTTCCACTCCTCCTCTTCTTAAATTCTGTTTAACTGATTAATTGCCTTGCCTAAAATGACTCAAACCACTATCCTACAATGCAATTAGAAGTTCTTTGTCTGCCTACATATACATCACTCTTGTGTTTTGCAGATTCTACAGTACTTCTCATCCTCTCTTTTTCAAGTTTGTTCTCCTAACTAAATATAACTTCCTCTCTTGGATCGCTGTGTAACCCAGACTACCAGAACTAGGTCATGAGAGAGCTATTCCCATCAGTTGGTGCAGTTTGCATTACCTCATCCAGCACAATTTACATGCAGCTTTTCTTGTGATATTCACCGTACCTAACAGCTACACATAAAAGGATGAAAAAAAAGTTCAATGGATGCCTTGCAAAAGCATACCAGTTAGTAAGAAAGAGGTAAACGATGGAGAGCGGGCAGGGCAGAGGAGATGGTGACAGACCAGTGGAGAACGATGGGAGCACAGGGTGACGATGGAGGAGAGATGGGATGAAACAGGGGTGCGAGACACAAACACAGGAGACACACAGACACTCATGGCGGCCTGAAAATAGAATCCAATTACAGACAGGGGCAAAAAGAAAGATGAGAGGAGGAGAAAAGGAGGGAGCGAGGTAGTGATGAGCGTAAATGTGTTGTGGAGGAAGAAATCGCAGGCATGAAGTGTCAACGGAATGTGAAGAAAATCACAGCACCCGCGTTTAACTGCCTCATTTACAGAAGACTGAATATAGCCCCGACATCATGTCAGACGTCACAGATGAGGTATTTGTACAGTCAATGGCCGACACAGTTTACATTGTAAGTTCAAGTCTTAATTAAAAAGGGAAGTAAGAGAATTGCGACAATTTAAGTTTGAGAGAAAGAGAGGATTTATATATTTCTGGTTACCTTAACCTTGCTGATAGCATGTAAGTCCTACTCTCATGAAGATATTACACACACCCAAGCAGTCTCTAAATCTATATAAGAGTGCTTTTGTAACTAGTTACTGTCTCAGGGTTCTGAAAAGGTCGGCATCAGGTTCCCGACTAACCTCAAGTCCCAATTATCTGTTTCAGCATGTTTTACCCTTATTCATCTCAGGTTCACTTGCAGATAGTTTGAGAAAGAGCTGGATTAGCACATGAAGTTTTTTCTATACTCATTGTCTGTGCAAGACTCCACTAAAGACGAAAAAACAGTAATGTACCCAAAATCTAGAATGAAGCAGTCATCAGGTAGAAAAAGCTCCTCTATCCAGTCAATAGGTCCAATTAAAAGAATGTTTACTGAGAAAATTGTTAGCATGTTCAATGTCTGCCTAAATATAATTTATCTTTCAACATGTAGCAATGAGACAATAAGAAATGTGCAAACCGGATGCATAGCAACAACTGGAAGAACGGTCATGGATGAAAAGAAAGTGGCTTCATACTGTGAGGGGTGTTGAGAGTACATTGTTTGTTCCCAAATTAAAGTCATTCATGTGATACTTGATGCTGCTAAAAGGATAAAACCCAAAAGAACTACATCTTTTGCGAGTCAGGTGTGCATTTTGCAACTGAAGCGTTGATTTTTATAACCTCTGGTTCTGAACTCACTTGGTAGGTCTTAATCCTCCGGACTGCATGTGGCTTTGGACGGTCTGCCACTTCCCAGCCTTCACTCCCTCTGTCACCATGCTCTTCACGCTGTCACTGCGATAAGGACCCCCCCCTGCACCCCCATGCCCAGCTGCGGCAGCCCCCTTCTGCCCCCCTGACACCGCCCCACTGAGGGACAAGAGATGATGTAGAGATCCCAAAGTAGACAAAGGGTTCAGAAGAGGGGGACAATGATGGGCAGAGAAGAGAAAGACCAAAGAGAGTGAGAAAGACACACAGACACACACACACAAAAAAAAAACAGATTGAGAAACCACATGGTTAAGGAGGTGAGACCGATCGGTGGACTGTGTGAAGGGGCAGACCCAGGTTTCAAGGTCAAATAGAAAGCAGGTGAATGAAAGTGGCCTGGAGTCCAGCGTAGAAAAAGACAGGGATGGGGAGAGGACGATAAGCAAGAGGAGGAGGAGAGGGATCTAGAGGTAGTCTGTGAAGGATGAAAAACCAGCAACAAGTTCCTCCTTTGGGCTTAGAGGACACAGATTTGAGCAGAAAAAGTGTGCAGATTGGCCTTTTAGTTATTCCTTTTTATTTAATTTGAGCTTCTAGGCCTTGAGATGTGCTACTTATTAAATAAAGTATGACGTCATGAGAAATATTTGGTGCTCATAAGCCACTGGGCGCGATTTGTTTTTGTACCTTGATGTGTAAAACATCCCTTTTGAAATATCTGCTTGTCATTTAGGCAGCACTTAAGACTCAATGACAGTATTCAGAAAGATAAAGGCAAAGCAGAAAGTACTGTGCTAATCACACCGGCCTTCAAAAACAGGCACAAGGTACCGGAATTAATCAACGTCCCCATTAAAGGCAGTTGTCAACTCAAATTTAATCTCAAAACGGGTGCAGTGGTGATCAAAATTAAAAGAACATTAGTGCCCTCTGGTGACATGACTGCATTTCATTAATATGCATGGCTCCTCCGCTCCAGGAGACACAAAACACAAGGATCCGAAGACTTTGCATTGCACCGTGCACGCTTGTGAGCTAAGGGTATTAAACTTGCACCAGGGTCACCTTTCAAATTTGACTTTCACTACCTGCCACAATCCTGCATATTTATACATTATCGATCACAACTTTAGCCGTGCGATGGTCAGGATGGGACACAAGCCTCATCTGAGCAGAGCACAAGGTGAATGTACATTTACTCTTTACGGGCAGAAGCAAGTAGGATTATTTTGGAAATTCAAATCTAACTTTTGTGACTCCAAATTTCACTCAGAGTGGACGGACTGCTTCGTAAACAGTTTTTTTTTTTTTTTTTTTTTTTTTTTTTTTTTTAAAAGCTACCCAGGTTTGAAGCTAAAAGCTGCATCGTGTAATCTACATTATAAGCAGAGTTAAACACAACATTGTTCACTGGCAGATTTAGATTTGAAATAAGTTTTTAATTTTACCAACATGTTTCTTCTGACTGAAAGTTAACATCTTTGAGTCGCCCAGAGACTCTAAAAATATGCTACACACTAGGAAAAAAAAATGATAAGAAATTTCTGTTTGCTCTAATGCCAGAAAACTTTTTACCTTTGACAACTGATAAGGGGAATAATCGCATTTAAACATGCCATTTTAAAAAATAAAATTAACTAAAAGTGAGGAATGAGGAAGGGCTGCACAGTGGCGCAGTTGGTAGAGCCGTTGCCTTGCAGCAAGAAGGTTCTGGGTTTGATTCCCAGCCCGGGTCTTTCTGCATGGAGTTTGCATGTCCTCCATGCGCATGTGTGGGTTTTCTCCGGGTACTCCAGTTTCCTCCCACAGTCCAAAAACATGACTGTTGGGTTAATTGGCCTCTCCAAACTGATCCTAGGTGTGAGTGTGTGCATGGTTGTGTGTCTCTGTGTTGCCCTGCAACAAACTGGCGACCTGTCCAGGGTGAACCCCACCTCTCACGTGGAACGTTAGCTGGAGAGGCACCAGCACCCCTCCTGACCCCACCAAGGGACAAGGGTGTAAAGAAGATGGATGGATAAATCCAGAGGTAGCTGGTCACCTTGGTGGTTTGCCATTTCATACCTTTACAGTTTGTTTGTATTATTCTCATCTTTTTTAAGAAGAAAATGGCATCATCCATTGTGTTTTGCAGTAGCCACCAGTAACACATCTCATGCCTGATGGGACACTTGATTTGAAGTAATTTCCCTCTCACAGTCTGCTGTAATAAGACTCAGATAAATAATTTATACCGGCTGAAGTTGTTTTGGTTACATCATTGATCATAAGCTGCCATATATAAAGACAGTCAATAGCCCCAAGCAGGAAATCTGGAAGGTTGTGTGATGCACTCTTTACTTTTCACGCCATTCCAATACACAATAGAAAACTATTCTGGCATCCATAACTCATCTATAATTTTGATGAGTTATAAATGCCAAATTTCTATCAAATTTCTATCAAATTTGATAGAAATTTGACTTTCTATCAAATTTGGCATCTATAACTCATCAAAATTTTTAAATGAATGAAAAATAAAACAGCAATATTAGAATACATGGCTATGAAATAGGTACAAATGGAGGCAGCGAGTGACAGAAAGACATTAAGAATCACTAGTACTAACTTGCAAAAGGGGCAAATTGAACCGCAGTAAAACCAAGATGTATGGATACCTCATCAAAATGATTATTTTCTGAGTGTGTGTGAGTGTGTGTGTGTTTGTGCAATTTTTAGACAGTCTGACTAAGTACTTAAACTCTGGGTTTGCTGATTTTTATTGTCTGCCATTTCAATAAGCGTTTAATATAATTGTTATTTTTTACACTGCTCCACCAGGGTTGCCAATAAAAGTGGACGCCAGTATAAATACCATTTCCTTACCTGAGCAGGTTTTATTAAATTATGACGTTAATATTTCAATAGCCATAACCCTTTGCGGAGAGAATGTTATGGCTGTTGAAAATGTTTAAAAATTATCATTAAATCCACTAAATCCTTTTTTTACAGGGAGACTGACTAAATGAGGCCCGGTGTCATTACGACGACGGAAAGCTGCTCATCTCGAGGGAGTCTCAGAAAGGAAATGATTTCCCAGCTGTCTGTTGGCTTTAGCGACGTATTATTGGTGGGAGTCAAGAGGTCGTCTTCGTCTCTCCCTGTGAGAAACTTATCATTATATAGTCTCACTTTGACTGAACGTCGCTACTTTTCAGGCCCACACGCCAGTGATTTAGCTGATTATTTCTGCCAGCCGTGTAGTAGAGAAAACTCACCACTTTTCACACATGAAGGCAGGACCTAACGACTCAGATATTTATACGAAACAAATGCAGAACTTCAACGCTTTCTTAAATACTGAAATGCAAAGGTCCGAGTGCAGCCTTTTGTTTTTCTGGGAAATATGGTTAAGACGACCAATTATCAGGAGTTTTATCAGATCAATTCCCAGAATCTAAACGTCCTCTCAGGGCCCAGAGGTGACCTTGCCGGAGTTTCACTGGAAATCAAGTGAGACTTTTATAGCAATAAGGAGAAAGAAAACAGTGTTATATTGTGTCCCGAAAATGACAGAGAGCAGATGCAGTTCAAGTGATTAAATGTTAGTGCAGCACACACTGTTGATATTACATTGATGGGGGGGCGGGAGAGAGAATTCAAGAGTAAGCCACAAATGGATGTTAAGTACAGGTGAGAACTGTCACCACACTGCAACCCGGTGGCAACGGTCAACCCTCCACAACAAAAGCAACTGCAACAGATATAAGAAACAGGCAGAGGACAGGCAGATTTCAAACGTCATCGAAAAAGGTTGGTTAAAAGCGTTTTTGGAGAGGAGGAAAATGAGGGTTGTCCGTCTCCATGGTCACACCATGGGCAGAGAGGGGCGAGGTTATAGGTTAGTGTGGAGCAGCAGGGCTGTAGAGAGTGAGGGGGCGTCTGCGCATCACTTAAAGGTGATATTATACGTAGCCTTGCAAAAGTATTCACACTCCTTTTGTCGTTTAATGCTGGCAAACTGAAATGTGTTTTGTTTTGATTTCATGGGAAAGACCAACACAAAATAAAACAAAGACGCAAAGTGGCAGAAGATTTATTGTAAATCAGAAATAAGTTGTTTAAATGCACTTGCATTTAAAAAGCATTTTTAAAGCCACTATTTTTGCCTTCATTGGTGTAGCACATCTAGAAATTGAATTTTATGCTCATTCTTCTTTCCAAACAGCTGAAGCTCAGCCAGATTAGATGAATAGCATCTGCGAACATCAGTTTTGTAAATCCCTACCACACATTCATGAAGGTCTGGACTTTGACTAGTCCAGAGGTGGAGAAAGTA